TGTGGAAAAATGCAGTAAGGAATGATAAGGAAAGGGGAAGGAAAGAAGAAAGAAAACAATAGAGAATAAACAAAGGATTGGACGCAGGAGAGGAAGAAGAGAAAGGAAGAGAAAAGGAAGAGAAGAAGGAAGGAAGAGAAAAGAAGAGAAGAGAAGAAGAAGAAAAAGGAAGGAGGAAGAAAGAAAAGAAAGAAGAGAAAAAGGAAGGAGGGAAAGAAGGAGCAAAAAGGGAAAAAGGGGAGAGAAACAAGGAGGAGGGACCGAACGAAGGAGAAAAGGACAAATAGAAATAGAAAAAGGAATATGAAAGAAAGAAAGAAGGAAACGAGAGGAAAGAAGAAGGATGGAAGAAACGAAAAAGGAAAAGGTAAAGGGAATAATAAATATATGAAGAAAGAAACTGAAATACCGAACGAAAGAAAAAAAGAGACGAGAAGGAAATAAGGAAAGAGAAGGAAAGACACCGAGCGAAGAAGGGAGGAGACGAGAAGAAAAGAAGGAAAAAGAAAAAAGAAAGACAAGAAATGCCGAAACGAAAAGAGAGACAAGAATGAATAGAAATAGAGGAAAGAAAAGCGAAGGAAGAAGAAAGAGACGAGAAGGAACTCAAGAAGAGGAAGGAAACACACCAACACGAAGGCAAGAAGGAAGGGAGCGAGGGAGGGGGGGGGGGGGGGAGGGGGGGTGGATCAGTGTCTTGGGCGTCCTCTAACACCCTCTTGACCGCCTCAAGTGTCTCTTCTTAATTTAGCGGATCCTCCTCGTCGGTCCACTTCCCTCGCCTCTACTCATCGGGCTGTTTCTCTTATTCCCCTTTCCTTTTGTTTTCTTTTTTTTCTTCTCTCGTGGCGTGGAGGGATGAGCGGAGAGGGGGAATCAGGGGAGGGGGAGGGGAGCGGGGACGGCGGGAGGGGCGCACACGGGGCGACCGGGCGCGAGCGGGCACGCCGGAAGCAGGGAAGCCAGCGAGAACGGCGGCACCGCAGCGCGATGAGGGAGACGGGACCATCCGCGAGATGGGAGAAGAGGGACGGGAGCACCGGAGCACGGCGAGAGGCGAGCCGAGACGTTACCGGCCGCGCACACCAGGCCGCAAGGGAAGGGAAGGCGAGGGAGAGCCCACAGCGCGCAGGCGGAGCCGGACACGGCCGCACGGGGACCGCCCTCCGAGCGACGAGGGAGAGCACGGCGAGAGAGGGGCAGAGACGCACCGAAGCAGGGACGGCGATGAGAGGGATGCAGGAGGGACGGCGGGGAACCCAGCCCCAGGGGACGAGCAGGAAACAGATCGGGAGAGCAGAGAGGGAAGGGCAGAGAGAGACGCGCCGGCCGAGAGAGAGAGGGAGGAGAGAGAGAGAGAGAGAGAGAGAGAAGAGAGAGAGGGAGGGGAGAGACGACGAGAGAGACAGAGGGGGAGGCCGAGCGGAGGGAGAGAGAAGGGAAGGGAGGGAGAGAGAGAAGGGACGGAGAGAAAGAGGGAAGGGAGAGAGAGTGAGGGAGGGAGAGAGAGAGGGAGCGAGGGAGAGAGAGAGGGAGGAGGGCAGGGAGAGGTGAGGAGAGAGAGGGCAGAGAGAGAGCACGGCAGCGGAGGGAGGGAGAGGAACGAGATCGAGAGCGGCGAGGCGACGAGCGAGAGAGGGAGGCCGAGCGCGAGACCCGAGGAGAGCGGGAGGGGAGGGAGAAGATGAAGAGGGAGGGACGCGGAGATACCAGCGAGACGCCCCACCCACCAAAGAGGAGAGGGAGGGGAGGGAGAACGAGAGAGGGAGGCGCAGGGAGAGAGAGAGGGAGGGAGGAGAGAGAGAAGGGAGGCGGAGGAGAGAGAGAGGGCAAGGCGAGGCGAGCAGAGAGGAGGCGAGGGAGGGCAGAGAGAGAGGGAGAAGAGGGAGGCGAGAAGGAGAGAGATGGAGGGAGGGGAGAGAGAGGACGAGGAGGGAGGGAGAGAGCAGAGGGAGGGAGAGACGAAGGAGAGGGGAGGGAGGGAGAGAGGGAGGGAACAAAAAAGACGAAATAGGGCGAACAAAAAAAAGGGGGCGAAAAAAAAAAAAAAAGAACAAAGAAAAAGGCGCCCACTCGCCAACGGGCGCGGCGGCCCCGAGGGAGGCCCGCACGGCGCACGCGGTAGGCCGCACACACAGCGAGGGAACGGTCAAGAGGTGATGACGCAGACGAGAGAGAGAGAGAAGAGCGCAGAGAACGAGAGCAGAGAGAGCAGAGAGCAGAGAGAGAGAGAGAGACAGAGGCGCGAGGGAGGGAGGGAGCGAGGGACGGGCTCGAGGCTGAGCGCACGGGAGGGAGGCGAGGGAGGGGAGAGAGGGAGAAGAGGAGCAGAGAGAGAGAGAGAGAGACGAGACCCGAGCCAGACCTGCAGACGAGACGAGACGCCCAGCATGAGAGAGAGCCAGCAGACGAGAGCGAGAGAGAGAGACGAGAGAGAGAGAGGAGAAGAGAGACGGAGAGGGACGGGCAGGGGACGAGCAGAGCGAGAGCAGAGAGAGAG